CATGCATGCAACATACACCATAAATGGTTTTCGATGCTAAGGCTGAATGTAATGCAGTGACACTCATTCATCGCATTGTGGGCAACATATTGTAAAAATTTACTATCTGTAAAATCAAGAGTAGTTGTGATAAGAAAATATAAGCATAATATTTCGGAAAATGTGCAATTAATCAGACTTAGCCTCCCTACAGCGTTTAACATTAATGAGCCACAGCTTCTACTAGCTGGTGTAAGTCTTTGCCAAGTAAAAGCAAAAAGCTGAAAATGGTGTCAAATTTATATATATTCTTTGACTCTAATGCTTTGTTGGCCTCGGGATATCATTAATAGGTAATGCTTCAAACGACGGAATATGAGGCTTCTCGGCTTTCTCGTAGAAAAATACGTCGCTTGACAAGGCCTTCTGTTTCAACAAAGAAGTACACGTATTCAAAATCTTTATTGTCGTTCTGAAATAAAGAAAATCTAAGATAAGTGAATTTATTTATCTGGTATTAGTATTAGAAAATTAAATAATCATCGGTTGAAATCTATTTGTATCAACTAATTTGTGGACGATATTTCTAATAGTGTAATTTTAATAGGTAGCATATATAAACTTCATTGGCATAAAGTTTTATTTCAGCGAATCAGCCTATATATATATATTAAGAATTATTTACGCAATTGATCAGCGATGCTCACCTCCATAACTTCGAGTTGAGCAACACCAGAACCAATGGCTCCTTTTAAATAAAACTTAAGAGACATATGAAGTCTGCCTTGCCCGTCGCGCCACTCATTGTGACTAAAATTTGTCATTGTTAAATAAATACCTACGCCACGTTGCCTCTTCGACCGCGGCGACTTGTTTCGCCATGTGCTTTTATATTACTTCCAAGAATATTTTGTATCTTTAATGAGATGAAGTCTTGCTTACCTGTGCATTGCTCTTGCAGATATTAAATGCACTATTATATACACCATTGGGACTTTTTTTAGATAAAAGCTCTTCGCCAATAACATAAAGGATAAAGGCTATCAGAATATAATAGAGGAAAAAGTACCTGTTAGGGCTATACCACCAAGGGCTACCACACCAAAAATGGAATCCTTAGCGGCTTCTTTAACTATCAAATCTTGATATAATAGATGAATAAACCTAGTTTGACTTTTGTGGAGGTAAGAGCACCTTCAGAATTTTTATCACAGCTCTTTCCTTTAGTTAATCCGAAGATAAATTTGGGCCCCAAAGCAGTTAAAACCGAGCTAGACCGAACGGAACAGCACCTCAATTGTCGGGCCACAAGCATATGTGCGGATCTTAAATGTGCGCGCTTAATCAACACATAATAGAGTGTATATTTAATTCATTAGTATTTATAAATTTTATTTAAATTATTTTTTAATTATTTATCATAGGTTAGATATTTATTTAGTAATGTTGCTATTTCAAATACGAGATGACCTTCTTTGGCAATCCTGCCCCAACTCTCTTTTCCGCTCAGCCACAAGCAACTCAGAAAGAAACAGAAGTTCAGTCGCCCCCTGCTGATACAGTATCATGCCTACGGTTTAGTCCAGAAAGTGTGGCACATTCAACATATCTTGCTGCTACAAGCTGGGATAATAGAATTAGGATATGGGAAATCATGGCCAATGGGACCACAGTCCCGAAAGCGGAACAGATGCATCAAGCTCCCGCATTCGGTGCGTGCTGGAGCCAGGTAAAGTTTAATTTGGCGTAATGAGTTAGGATGGAAGCAAAGTATTTAGTGTCGGCGCTGATAAGTCTGTTCAAATGTGGGACTTGAACTCGAACCAATTTACTCAAATTGGAGCGCATGAGTCACCAGCAAAAACCGTACACTTTATTTCTGCTCCTAGTTATTCTTGCTTGATGACTGGAGGGTGGGATAAAAAGCTC